GGGGGCACGGCTGCCAGCGTCGCCAACACCTGTGCCACCGGCTTCACACAGGTATTCCCAGGGTGGGAGGAGGAAGGTTGGCAAGTTATGGGTAGGCCACGGAGCAGGTGTGGGGGACCTGTAGCACCCAGGCTGTCACTGAGACAACACCGGGAAAGACAGGTCTGTGTGGCAATTGGGGGGGATGACAGACACAGTGTGGGGGGTGATGCTCCCCATCCTCACTGTCCTGTCCTCCTTTCTGCCAGGCTGGCTCCCGCTTTCCAGTGCAAGTAAGTGCACTGGCATGTGTGATGCTGGGCATGTCCCCAAGGCTGGCAGGGCTCCTCACCTGCATCCCACTGGTGGTTCATGGTGAGTACCCAGCCCTTCTCCGGCACTGCCATGCCAGCAGCCTGCCTGGCACTGCCTGACTCCTGCCCCTTGCAGGGGGGGTGCTCTGCATCACCTATGCTGTAGCTGTGGGCACAGGGATCTCCTACTTCCAGTATGCTGACATTGACTCAGGGAGGAACATTTTCATCGTTGGCTTCACCATGTTCATGGCACTGCTGGTGCCGCGGTGGCTCAGCATGGCTCCGGCTCACCTGGCCACAGGTAGAGGGGATATTCCTGAGGCTAGGCTCTTCCAGACCTATGATATGGTGGACACATGTCCTCGATGTCCTGGGAGGCTGGGGTTCTTCCTGGCAGCAGGCAGCTCCCTCTCTGACCCCTAGATCTGCTGCAGCAGCTCCTGTCCCCTCCCCACTGCTAGGCTGGGATATCCTGGGTGATTTTGGCACTATCCCCACAGGCTGGGTGCCCCTGGACCTCCTCTTCCTCTCCCTGCTCACAATGCCTGTCTTCTTAACTGGCTTCTTGTCATTTTTCCTGGAGAACACAGTCTCAGGTGAGGGGATGCCTCTGCTCTGAGGGCTGGATCTGACCGTGAGGCTGTCCCTGAACCACTGGCTCTGCTTTCAAGCAGCCCTGCTGGAGATCCTGGGGCTGGCATGGGCCAGGAGGGTGCAGCTGGAGGAAGGGGTGCTCCTATCTCACTGCTCACTGCCCTGCTTGCAGGAACTCTGGAGGAACGAGGGCTGCTCTCTGACCTGGAACTGCGGAAAGCTGGGACAGGCAGCCACCACCCCCGTGGGGAGAGGCGTGAAGCCAGCCATGTGTATGGGCTCCCCACTGCCCTGAGGAGGCTGCTGCCAACCTCCTGCAAGGCTTTCCCCTGCTGCTTCCTCTGTCCAGAGAGTGAGGAGGAGGAGGAGGAAGAGGAGGATGAAGAAGAGGAGGGCAGCTGTACTAATGAGGAGGGGACTGCTGCCCCAGGAGAAGGGACACACCTGCTCCCCAAACCTGGCTCGGGGGAGCAGCAGTGGGCCAGAAGGCCAAGTGAGACAGAGATGCCTGCATGGCACCCTGTGGCCTAACCCCCCAGTGTGGGGACATCTCAAAGGGACTGGGGCTGTGCCTCTAAGGCAGCTTGCAAAACACTTTGCTCCTTGTTTCTGAAGCTCATATGGACTGGAAAGACTTTTGCTTCCTCACTCCCAGCACAAACCTCATTTCTCCCCTCAGGAGCAAGCTATAAAAACCTTCAGCCACCTTTACCTTTTCCAGGAGTTTCCTTTACAGCCAGGATTTGCCTGGGAGATGGCAGCCCACCCTCCCTTGGTTCCCTGAGGACTGCAACTGTGGAGGGCATGGCCAGCTGGTGTCACTGTAGCTAGGGAAGTGGGGACCCCTAAGGCCCATGATCACCCTGTGGATGCAGCTGTGGATTTACTCCCTGGCACTGTGCTCAGGAAGGACTGGCTCTCCCCCTCCTCATTGTTTTATCCCAGTTGTGCCCATGGCACCAGGTCTATACTAACATGCTGACTCTGGCACACCAGGATGCCCCAGGCTGGGGGTGCAGCTCAGTTCCCCAAAACAGTGAACCCCATTTCCACCTGCAGCGAGATGGTCCTAGGAGTGCTCACTTCTTAACTACCCCCCACAGGCATTGCTCTTGCTGCTAAACCATTCAGTGGTGGCTTTCCCTGGGGAAGGGGACATCACCTTTGACACCCATGATTATTCTCAGTGCCCGAGTTGGTTTCCTACTGCCGGCTGGTTATGTCACCAGCAGGAGAATCTGCACCAGCCCTGCTCTCTGCTTCAGCATTTACAGCAGATCAGAGTCCACAAGCAGGCCCTGCATTCCCAGAGCTGCCTCTGCCAGTGTGAACTGGCCTGTGAAAGTCCAGCCCCGGGCTAGGAAAGGCTGGGGCTTTGCAGCCCTTGGGTTATGCAAGCTGGCCCTGGGTGCAAGCTCGAAGGAAGGACGGACTTGGGTTTCTTGTGAGCCTGGCCCCTGGGCATGGGGGCACAGGGCGACCAGCAGTCTGGGTACAAGCCTGAGCAAGCAGCAGTGCAGGTGCCTGGCCTGTGCACTGCTTGTGCCATACCTGTGCAGAGGCACCCTGTGGCTGCAGGGGCTGAGGAATAAACCTGAGGCCAAGCAACAGGAGTGTCTGCTGCTCCTGCCTCTCTGGGCTGCCCCTGCAGCCTAAGGGCTGCCCTCAGCCGGCTGTGTGGAATCACGGAACAGTTTAGGTTGGAAGGAACCTTAAAGACCATCTACTTCCAAACCCCCGTGCCTGGGCAGGGACATCTCCCACTAGACCAAAGCACCATCCAACCTGGCCTTGAACATTCCAAGGAGGGGGCATTCACAGCTTCTCCGAGCAACCTGTGCCAGTGTCTCACCACCCTCACTGAAAAGGAGCTTCTTTCTAGTAACTAATCTAAATCTACCCTCTTTCAGTCTGAAACCATTCCCCCTTGTCCTATCACTACTCCCCCTTGTAAAAAGTCCCTCTCCAACTTTCCTGCCACCCCTTCAAGTACAGGAAGGCTCCTACAACGTCCCCGGGAGGACAGACCAGGAAGTTTCACAACAGGAACAAGCGCGAAACGGCGCGAAGACGTTTCAATCCACACGGCTTTGCCCAGCGTCCCGTCCCGCGATG